GTCAAAAACAGTTTTGGCTGATTTTTGTAGCCAAAAGTGGTTTTAACCAACGCAACTTCTTAGTCAAAAATGGTGTTGTCTGATTTAAATTTCAGACTATCGGTCAAAACTTGCGATATCAGAACAGTAGGTTAAAGTGCGGCTAGGGTGACCTTTGGGCCACCGTAAAGCCGCGTACATTAAATAGAATTTTTTAATTTTAGAAATTCAAAATGTATAAGTCAAAAGAAGTTTTGACTAACATTGTTGGTCAAAACCACTTTAACCGATGTAATTTGGTCAAAATCACTATTACCCAGTATTTTTGCCGTTAAAAGAGGATTTGACCAACGGCCTTAGTCAAAACTTTTTTTGACTGCCAAAATCAGTTAAAGGTGGTATTGACAAACGTCCTTAGTCAAAACTACTTTTGCCTAATTTTTTACAGTCTAAAGTGGTTTCGATCAGTTATGAGTTTTGACTCTACCATATATACTTTTTGGGTCATAGCTGGACATATGCTTTTACAAGAACGTGCCAACAGACATTTCTTTAAACTTCAAAAGAAGTTTTTTAAGACCCTTTTTACTGGCAAAGAGGCATTACATCTTAGTCCTCACGGGTGACAACGCATCTGCATCTTGAGTCTTTATTGAGGATAGATGTAGATGTCTATGGGTCACAGTAACCACTTACCATCAGGTGGACTGTGTACTCGTTTGTCACCCGATACTATAAAAAAAAGTTGCTTATACTCCCGGCGCTGAGTAGGCGGGTTCGTTGAGAGGTCTGAATGTAGATGTAATGTTGCTCTAGCACCAGTTTGATTGTTTGTGTGTTAAATGTGTAAGGGATGCGTTTAAATATATTAAGTAACCTTCAAACATTGCTATATTTTTAACATTTTAATAGTTCTGTTAAGCAGTATATTATATTAGAACAATAATATTTGTTTTATAAAATATAACAGCTATTCAACAAAAACGTATTGTGTCCGTCGTTTAATATGAACATGGCAACGAATTATTGGGGTATAGTTAGTAAACAATAACAACTGCATAACATTATAACTGTATTTGTACGATAATAAAGGTTTTAGGTTTTGTAGTTTTAGTTAAAATCCGGACTTTCGGCACAGAATCCTACATAATAAAATATGATACATACGGTTTTAATAGCTTATTAAATATTATGATAAATTATTATAGATACATAATATAATTTACGTACGTCTTTCCTTAATTTCAAAATTAGAACTTAAAATATTCCGTACAGTATAATAGTACGTATATAAACTGAGCTGTTATAAGTCGTAAAACGAAGATAGTTAAGTCGCTATACTAGCCCCGCGCCGAGGACACATATTGCAGTAGTTTGAGATTACATCATACCGTCCGAAAATAGGAAACCTACGTACACGAATTGTATGAGTATTCAAGCTGTTTCGACTGATAGTTACCTACGTATATTATGTTATTGCATATATAAGTCGAACTAAAGCAATTAATTATTAAGAACATTATAATATAAATATTCATTTCTGACGTTTTGATTCATGTTGATAATATAATGCATGTAAATAAAAAATATTCTACTACCTTATCAGAGAGCAACGACTGGCCTGATAAGGAAAAAGAGAGGGGGGTGTTTGTCATAGTTGCCACGCAGGCGAAGGATGCCGGTGGCTCTAGACCGTGCCATTCCTGAGGGAGGTCTATGTTCAACAGTAGACTTGTGAACTTGCGATGGGCTGTAGTAATGATGATGATATCAGCTCGTAAAAGACCACTGCTAGATATGACTTTTGTAATTGAACGCAACCCTTAAACGATTAATTTGCTTTATTCTGATGTCTGTGTCCGACAAGGGTGAATTTGATCAGGGTTGAATTGAACGGCGAAGTCAGAAATTAGGAAGGAAAATGAAAAATCAGGAAGAAAATTAAAAAAAAATTAATTAAAAATTGGATCTGTTCACAATTTATACATTCTATGTTTTTTTATGTGTTTGGCAGTAAAAATAACTAGTTTTTGTGTATTGTTGTACAAAGTATGTACAAATCTTACAACTGTATTTTCACATTCACATACAACATACATTGTACTGTTGTATTCGAGTCTAAAGTGTGTAGAGAGCCAGTATAATTGCAGGCCGTGAGGTATTTCTCAGTCCTCAGAGCTGACAACGTATCTTCATGAACACCTGCATCCAGTAAACGAAAAGGGTTGAGTTGTCAGAGTTGAGAGTTGAGTGAGTTTGAGAGGTTGCGTTGTCGTCTCTGAAGATAAAAATGAAATACCTAAATAACAAAGCAATTACTGCTGTAAGGTAACGACGGAAATAATAGAAGAGGGTGATAATAACCCACGCGCACACTTTGGTAGTAGAGGATCCTTGCAAACTAGTCAAGCTAGACTTATTTCGATGAGAAAGATTTAGAATTGTCTTTTACAAATTAATAAACGTGTCAAGGAAATAGCCTGAAAGCTGTGAGAGTGTATAGCTATATAACTATAATATTACTAGCGACGTCTTGTTTGAATCTGCGAACCCTTACCGAGTTGTGATTTTGAAATACATAATACGTAGGATTCATTCTAGATTATCCATCATCATCATCATCATCATCATTGTCATCACAAAATGGTCTTACCAAGTCGTTACTCAGTATAGTATCGCCGTCCTACACTTTGTTTACTGATATGAGGCTGCCACTCGAGAACCTTTCTTCCTTATCGGTATCGGTTTTTAGAGGTATATGACCAGCCCAGTGCCACTTCCTACTGCGGACATAATTTTTAGCACTATGCTCAATGACCTCAATAGTGTCTCTCAACGGATAGGTGTTTAAGATGAACATGGACAAGACAAAAGTCATTTTTCTTTTTGCCCAATGACTAATTACATATAGCCATTCAGCGAGGCAATACTGCCAGCATTCTAGTTACTATACCTAAGGGAATAATGTAACATTATGGTAATTTCAGATTTTGGTGTTTTTATTGTATGAATAGCTAAATATTGTATTAAATATGTCATGTTAAATAATTAAATAAATTCCATTAAGAGTAAAAAATAGTACAGCGGATGTTAAATAATGAAACTCTATTCGTTTCCCCACATCACAGCTGCACTTTGCATCCAATAAGCGAGGGTGTGTTCCCAGTTCCCACACCCTACATGTGCAACAAATCTGTGCACTGAATGAGGTTCCACTCTAAATTGACCTCTTAGGATTAGGAACGATTTTGCTTTATTGTACCCGAACGTCGACTCTCTTTGTTGCTTTATAGGTCTTTTTAGTTGGGTAATATTCATGTGAACGTTTCACTGCTGCGTTCACACACGTCCCGTTTGTGCCGGCGATACACACGGCTGTTAACTATGACACCTTCTTGAGTACACGATTGAAAGCAATAATGTATTGAAAATACATAAGTCTGTTATAAGTTGAATACAGTTAATTAGTGCAATATATAAGTATTTTTATTCTTTAAACATTTAAATTGTTTGGTTTATTGTTTTACAAGTATTCATCTATTGCAGGGAGAACATGCCATAGTAGTGATGTCTGGCAGGCAGATACCATACATTTGGCGCTGCTCCTCGTTGTTGGCCTGGGACCGATCTCATTTTACATTTAGAGTAAACTATATGATTACACTGTCACCTATCGGAGATCATCCGATCTTTCTGGCATTTCCTATTCGCTTCTTACGAAACCTACGAGACTAATGGGGTCTGAAAATTAATATAAAATAGTAAATAGGGTGATGAATATGGTTTACGTATTCTAAATGATTAATATATGTTAATTAGATGCTATAAGGAAAATTATTATAACAACTATGGAAGTCCGTCTGAAAGTAAACTATTAATCTTTAATATATATATAAAAATCAATTGCTGTCTGTTAGTCTCGCTAAAACTCGAAATTGGCTCGGCCGATTCTGATAATTTTTTTGTGTTTTTAAATGGGACCCTGTATGGTTTAAATTCACAATTTGATTAGGCCAAGACCCAGAAAAGTGACTCGAGCGAAGCCGAGGTTATAAAATGAAAACAATAATTTGGTGTTAAATTTAATTAAAAAATTTCTTTGTCAAAGAAATAATAATGGAGGAAAAAAAAATATTATCTAAATTTTATGCCAGTGTACCTGTGTGTACTGCAATGTTAAATTTTATGATTCCGTCACCCCTATTGTAATTATACTTGCGAAGGTTTACGGCTCATTGGTGCGAAATATGGGTCAATTCGCACACTTGTCTATTACTTCGCAGGCAAGTCTGCGGTTTATGATTTTCTATTTTTACTTTTACTGTTTAGTTCTTCGGTGCTTGATATTTAGTAAAATGTGAGAGAAATAATAGTTTGAATTTGAAGTGGAGATGAAAGATGCCGAGAATCTTAATTGCCAAATAATGTGACCTTTTTTCTTTTGTTTTATAGCATAGGGTGACAAACGAACACACAGTCCACTTGATGGACATCCACATCTATCCTCAATAAAAAATCGAAATCAGATGCGTTGTCACCCGTGAGGACTAAGATGGAATGATTCTTTTCCAGTAAAAGGGGTCTCCGGTTCTCTACACTCACCATACGAAACACAGAAGTATTAACCCGCTATTTTACGCTGGTATTCTGTGAGAGCGTGGTCTTTCCCTTTCGAGCCGACCCGATCGTGCTACAACTATGCTACTAAAATAGCTGCAGCATGGCTCTACCACATATAAAATATATTATAGTTTTTTTTTTAATTATATTACTGAACAAATGAGCAAATGTCGCCACCGAGTTTTGTATCACTTTATCTCCGACGTGATTGAACTATTATTATTTTCGTAGTCGTATTACTTATAATTCATAGCGTTGTGGAGTTATGCTTATCATTTGTTTCATTATTTTCGTGCTATCTTAAAGACTTTTACAGTTGACTCCGTACAAAAAATATATCTTTTTCACACGCACAGAAGCTAGTTTAGAAATAAATTTCGAGCGCTTGTAGGAGTACTTACCAATGGGCGCTATTCCATTCTGAAACAAAAAAAAAAGTATTATATTAATCGATTTCTGAAAGCAATACTTGCACATTTTCTAGTGAAATAAAGTATACATGAAAAATAACAAAATATTTCTAACAATTTAAATATGCAGTACACGTTTTGTTTAAATTATGACATACATATTATGATAGTAGATATCGTCTTGTTTAAACCTGTACGCGCCTCTCTTGTATTTTTAGTAGATTTTGTCAAATTCACCGTATTATCATTAAATATACATACATCTGCTTGCTCTTTTTATTGTTTTATATTTGACATAATAAAAGTTATAAATTTACCAAAAATATAAGGGAAGAGCATGAATGTAATTTGATTAATTACAAAATTGCTCGAATGCTTTCGTACAATTTCCGCGCGGCTTGAATATTAATATGCTTATCGAGTCATATTATCCGATTACAGATAAATGGGTCTGACAACGATTATCTTATATAACATGTATACATATTGTCTTTAAATGCTCTGATAAATGTAATATTGCTTATATAACGCATTAATCGTTTGCTGACCTAAAAACAAAACAAAAATCTAATATAATTATTGTCAATAATTGTGCGTACCTTGTATTAAAAAACAATATGCTTTGCAATATACAAAGGCTGCGGTTATGACTGAAAAAAGTAACTTGTTAGTTCTGATCTTAATATCCAAAATGAGCCTGATCTGTCAACCATTTTGTTTACAGCAGCTGCTTTAATGAGGGTTATTACCTTCCGCTCACCAGATGTCACTAGTTGACACCGAGGTGAAGTTTTTTGTTACATAATGTCATTTAATTGAGAGGTTAGTTTTAAATAAAAGAGTATTATATTAGTACACAAAACAAAATCTCAGTGGTTTGCTTTTAAATGTTTTGCACATTTTTAAGTCTTTTTTAAGTTTTCTACTTTCATAAATATCTGTGGTTTGGTTTATTTATTTTTATCTAATTAATATAAAATGTAACTTACTGTAGGTACAGAAATGAATAACTTTTACATTTTCCGAACAAATTTACTTCTCCGTTATGAAATCTGTCAAATATTGCGCTGTCCAGGTGGCAGAAAAAGTTGTAGATTATTAGTACACCTCAGTAGCAAGTCACGATTTTTATAATAATTGAAATGATATAATAGTTTGCTTGAAATTTGACGTTACAATCTTGGAGCGATAAAAAAGATAGAACTCGAACATAATTCGAAGTACATTTCCAGTGACGCCGAAACCACGCTCATCTTTTTGCCACGCACTCATACAAACATCTTTCTTCTTGCTTTCTTTATCAGCATAAAGTATTTATTACGCTATTTTTATTACGCTGCGACAGTGTTATTCTGACATGTGTTTTGCGACATAGAGCAGCACGGGCCACCAGCCTTTGAAGTTTGTGCACTTATCAAAACTGCTTATAGTCTACCAATTAAGTGCAGCTAGTTTGTAAAGTGTGCTGTCTCTAATAAGGATGTCTAGCCATTTTAAGAGATAAGGCTAGATAAGTTCACATAATGATTTCATATATTTACGCGAAGACTACACGATCTACGTAGATCGGACCAAAAAATAATATACAAAAACTGAAGGTAGTTGGGCTAACTATGACATCGGGACGTCAAACATCTTATTTAAATTAAATGCGATAGAATCCGTAAAAATTAGTTTCATTTAGTGCTAGATAAGTTGTTCCAGTTTCAAGATGGTACGTCAATTTATACGCAGTACATAATGTATACAGTTAGTTGAGCAGCTAGAAAGTATCTATTCTCTATTAAGAATCAAAATGCAAATATTTTGGCATCTCTGACATTGAAAACAGATCGCCTTGTTACCAGTAAAATATCTCCGGTTCTATTTTGTTCCGTCCGTCCGCGGTTTTGCTCAGAGACCCTAGGTGCTACAAATCTGTAATTTGGCATAGTTATAGATATTAATGACGCCTAGAAAACATTGAAATAAAATCTTAAAAAAAACATTTTTATTTTGGGTTCTTCCCATACAAGTAAATGGAGGATGATTTTTTTTACCCGTTTATTCAATCACGTGGGGTATCGATAGATAGATCTTTCAAAACATTGGAGTCCATTTGCGAAATATTTAGCTTTAAAGTGGTATTTTTCATTAGAAACATGTGTCCCTTCTACCAACTGAACCGCTGTTTTTGTAGTAGTATATATAATGAAGTTAAAAGGAAAACTATCACAGCTTAGTACAATTAAGAAGTTAACGAGTAATAGTCTACCAACTTATAGAATCTAGTTGGATTAGTAAAAATTTCGTTAGAAATCTGTAGAAAGTGACCTAAACCTAGCTGCATTAATAACTACTATTAGCTTCAATTTTTCATTTGCGGGATAAATATATATATATAGATAATAATATCCTATTATCAAAATTGAAAAGGTTTTAATCTTTTTTGAATAACACTCCCTATAAGGCTGATTTGAATATAGGTCCTTCGATTACGATCTTCCTATTTGCGTACATTTTTAGTCGTTATAGCGGTCAAACCGCGAACTCACTTATTATTCTCATTATCAAGGAAGTCCACGTATTGTGACGGACAAATACAGAACCCTACCTCTACATTGTGCGTGACCCAACACGCACTTGGCCAGTTTATTTTAAATAGGTACCCGATGGTAGGTTAATGCTGTAGTAGATATACATCTACATCTATCCTTGATTAAGAATCAAAATGCAGATGTATTGTTATACTTGAGAACTACGAGTAAGATGGAATGCCTTGTATCTAGGGTTCGTTCTTCGTCAATAGGGTCTCCGATTCTCTACACTCACCATACGAAATATAGCAGCATTAAGTAATGATTTCATTTTTTTTATAGGAGAGTGGGCAAACGAGCATGCGGCTCACCTGATTGTAAGTGACTACCGCCGCCCATGAACAACCGCAACACCAAGGGAATTGAAGATGCGTTGCTGTTCTGTAAGTGCATATTCCTTCCACGGTCAAGCCAACCAATTTTTGTTACAACCATAATACTACTGTAGTGTGACTCTACCACTTATAAAAAATAGCATATTTGTAAATAATAATTATGTGCAGATTATATAATCATCCAGGTTATATAATCTGCACTCATTATAATATTTTGTATTTTATAATAGATACGGAATTAAAACGGCTGTTTGCGAGCTTTAATGAGTACGCCGTTATAGCACTAAAGAGAAAAATAAACAAGAATAACCTTTTATTTTTGGTTCATTGCTTTTCTAATAGATGCTTTAGAAGATCCAATTACTGGTAGCAACGAGTTAAGGGTAACAATGTAGACATATCGATTAATTATCGAAAATTGCTATGAGAATGTTCGTTGCTACAAAGAGTATCTTATTTATCACAATCTCTTTCATAAATTTTAACTCATTGATTATATAACGATTAAATTTACTCCTTGCTTTAAAGTGCTACAGCTGCATTTTATTGGGAAACGTCTATACTTAGCTCACTGTTATTGTTATATTAAAAAGCGTAAGATAAAAACCTTTATCAAAGTCGTTAAATTCCAGATAGTAAACGCTAGTCGACTTTGGTCATTATTTCTTTATTGAGAAATACAACAGAGATAACCCAATGGGGTACAATCCTTACATAAAACCTGTGATAGATTTTCTTAAAAAAAAAGAACGTTGTTGGAGAATTAATGAATTGCAATCATTGATTAGGTGAGAACAAAGCAAAGAAATCGCAACTGTGTAGTGGCGGTGTGAAAACATCTACTACCCATGCCGAGGGTGTTTTAAGACGCCACAGACAGAAACTGAAACAGGAGATGGGCAGCAGCATCCTTCTGAAAACAACTGAAGATACAACAATACTGCGGTTTCCCACCCGCCTGGTGAGCGTGGCAACTATGACAAAATCCCCCTTTGCACTCTATGGGGGCGGCCTATGTTCATCAGAAGACTTTTAAAGGCTGTAATGGATGGAGAGTAAAGAAACTAATTGCATTATTAAAAACTAACAGAAAGCAAATGGTGTTTTGTCAATAAATAAAAGAAAATGTGTTTGACTTTAAATACCTGAAACGAGTTTTGATAAAGAGAAATATTTTTGTAAATAATTGTTCCATGTGCATTACCTACAATTTCAAGAGACTAAGTTTGGAATGGGATGAAGTCATACGTATGAGTTAAGAGTGCAGTCGGAAAGTTTCTGTTCACCGGTAAAGTTTGAAAATCTATGTATTTATAATTATATTGTGTGAAGTCTAGACTAGTATAGTTTACTTGCACAGAATATTTGTGGTGATATTTTTCCACCTGCACCTATTACGTTGTTACGTTCATAACTTTTTTAAATATTTCTGAACAGTCCTTTTTGAGTGACAGTAATTTTGAAGTGTTTTTCTCAAGTGAAGTCTAAGAAGAATAAAATATAATATAATTACAACCTAATTTTTCTTTAATTTTATGTTGCCTTAATATCTGAAAGTAAAATTGATTGAAATGTGTTAAAATATTTCTCATTTCACGAATTTTTTATGCAAACATCTAATAATTCCTTGCGAAGGGTATTTACTGAAGCATTATAAACTCAATAAATCTCGCAATCCTTTGACAGGGTTGGACCAAACCGACATCTATCTCTGCCGTGCTTAACGAGATCAATCAGCGTCGGGACATTGAGGCACACAGAGTACGGTACTCGAACGTCTGGCATAGTCCGACAGATGTATTAAAAATTGGAAAGGAATTGCTGTATATCTTTTTGTCCACATGTACGTCATATATAACTTATCTGTCGTGGAAAATTTAGAGTTAACAAGAAATAGTACATTGATTTATGCGTGTTGTTTTAATAGAATGTAACACATTAATTATGCCTGTAGTTTGCAACAAGATTTATGTAAAAAAAGAAATCATTTAGTTCTGGTGGAATCGATATTGTAACAAATTTTTAGTGTATGTTTTTCGTTCCTAGCAAACATCTGTTGTGTGTTCCAAAAGAAAAATTAATAATAATATAAATAAAAC